GCAAGGAGCAAGCAACAATCTTGTTCGTGAAATGGAGTGTATGGACGAAGACCAATATTTCAACTATTTCCGGATGCCATTCGAGACATTTAACAAGTTGCTAGCAATTGTGGAACCACACATCACCAAAGAAACAGTTATTCGTATACCGATTCCTGCACGTACTCGATTACAAGTGATCTTGCGATATCTCGCCTCCGGAGATAGCATGACCTCCATATCTTACAGTTTTCGCATTGCGCATAATACGATCTCAAAAATTATCGCTGACACTTGTATTGCAATTTGGAATTGTCTTAAAGACGAAGTCTTCCTTGAACCAACTACAGCTAATTGGGAGCATATTTCTGCAGAATATGAAAGTATTTGCCAATTCAATCACTGTATTGGAGCTCCGGATGGAAAGCATGTTGTCATTCAGGTATAAAGTACATTTTTTTCAACCATATTAGCATGTTATTTGGTTTGCTATTTTACTACATAATATATGTATGTATTTTCTATTTTACAGGCACCACCAAATAGTGGATCTAGAACGTCTACTTGCCATATTTGTTTTACAATATTAACGTTAACAAATCACCTCCTCCCATTGCATTGGACACTTCCAACCAAAGTGCGTTAACTTTTAGCTGCGTCCTCTCGTGTAAAGGCAACTTATGATTCCAGAGAGCTGGTCTTTGAAACACCATCTCAATTAAAATTTCGTCTATATCATCACACACAGACTGTGATTGCTCATTACCTCCAGGGGGAATTACGGTTGCATTAGAGGGATCTTCATTTTCATTACTTCTCGGAACTGCAAAGTAAATGGTTAATCAAATTTTGATACATAAAATTAGTTACATTTAATAAAACATGCACATACCCATTCTTGCTACATGGTTTTTGTCAATGTGCAATGCATGTACTTCTTCCGAGTAATTTTCAAAGCATTTGTGCTGCAGAATATTACCACAGGAACCCATAATAATGTAGCCGCAGTACCCGCATTTTAGTCTCTATATTTATTAAACGTTACTATATTAGTTATTATACATTATATTTATTATATATAATACATTAAACATTAACACAGTTTAACGATATTTAAGTCTACTACATAGTTATTCAACTAACAATTTATGTTATTAATTCAGTTAATTAAGTATATTTTATTACGTACAATTTCTCCACAATCCATCTTGCCGGTCTTGTTCACTGTTGCACGTAAAAGAAAGGTTATCCGCGTGGCTATTCCGCTATTCCGCTGATTCTAGCGGAACAATTCTAGCGTAACGGAACGAAATCAGCGGAAGAGCTATGATTGGCTCCGCTTTGTCTCCGCTTCCGTTCCGTTTCCGCCTTCCGCCTCTCGTGAGTCGTGTGCCGTCAAGGTACCTTTACATATGCCGCACGCAGCAGCAGCAATTCGTTACTATTGGTTAAAAATTTTACTTAGATGACGCACTTCCGGCGCAAAATACATTTAGCCGCATCTTATTGAAGTTCAACCAAACGAACAGCAAAGGCGAACGAGCAGCAAAAAGCCGTGTCAATCATGCTGTCAAGTCATGTGTGATTGAAAATAGTAAATAGTAAATATTGAAAATGACCTGATGTAAATCAAAATGTCTGTTGATTATATCTATAATTGTATTTTAACATATTTTATATCGAAGCATTTAATAAACTGCTCTGGCTCAGCCTATATTATTTCATTCATTAATTTTGTTAAATTATTGAGA